ACCACCAGGGGTACAACTAACCCAGTCCAATGAAAATCTGGTCTGCAAACTAAGAAAGGCATTATATGGACTCAAGCAATCACCAAGAGCATGGTTTGGGCGTTTATCTGTGGCAATGAAGAGATTCGGATACAAACAGAGTAATTCTGACCATACTCTGTTCTATAAACACAGAGCACAAAAGGTAACCATTTTAATAGTGTATGTAGATGATATGGTATTAACAGGAGATGATCTTGATGAAATGAAGTCTCTGGAACAAAATTTAGCAGCAGAATTTGAAATGAAGGATCTAGGACCTCTAAATTATTTTCTTGGGATAGAAATTGCAAGATCAAAGAAAGGCATCTTTCTAACTCAAAGAAAATATACTCTAGATCACTTATTAGAAACAGGAATGTTGGCTTGCAAACCAGCTGAGAATCCCATTGAAATGAACCACTGACTTGGTATATATCCGAATCAAGTAGAAGCAGACATTGGAAGATATCAAAGGCTAGTAGGGAGGCTAATATATTTGTCACATACTCGGCCAGACATTGCCTATGCAGTTGGTGTGGTAAGCAGATTCATGCACTCTCCCAGTGAAGATCACATGAAAGCTGTATATCGTATTTTGAGATATCTCAAAGGAACACCTGGAAAAGGTATCCTCTTCTCGAAAAACAGCAAAAAGAACATTGAAGGATACACTGATTCAGATTGTGCTGGGGATAAAACTACTAGACAATCTACCTCCGGTTATTTCACATTTGTAGAAGGCAACCTAGTCACATGGAGAAGTAAAAAACAGAAGGTTGTTGCAAGATCAAGTGCCGAGGCAGAATTCAGAGGTATGGCTTATTGTATCTGTGAGCTTCTATGGATAAAAAATGTTTTAAGTGATTTGGGAGTTAATTATGAACTTCCCATGAGCCTTTACTGTGATAACAAGGCTTCTATTGAGATTGCTCATAACCCAGTCCAACATGATAGAACAAAACATGTTGAAGTAGATAGGCATTTTATAAAGGAGAAGCTTGATCAGAAAATCATCACTACACCGTTTGTTAGATCAGAAAGTCAACTAGCAGATATCTTGACTAAAGCAGTCTCAGGAAAAGCTCTGGATAATACAAGTGGCAAGTCAGGCATGTGTGACATCCATGCACCAACTTGAGGGGGAGTGTTAGATTAAGAGATATTTGAAATTGAATTACTGTTGTAAAGATTTAGATTATCTTTCTGTTTATGTTTCTGTTTACAACAAATTCTTGTTTAAGAAGTTGTTAGAATATTTTTAGGAATTAGTTTTGAAGATAAAGTGTATAAATACTCATCCTCTGTAAATGAATGAAATGAATCAATAGAAAAGTATTTCAGAATTTAAAGTCTTGACAGACACCTCATCTGAAAGTCATTAGATTAAAAAAGATCAACGACTCTGATTTGTAAGCATGTGACACCATTGATTTTTTTTTATCTAACGGCTCTCAGATGAGGTGTCAAATTTTAAATTTGACACTGGTATCAAAAGATCTTACCTCAAAAATAAATCCAAGTGACAAATTTTAAAAGAAAGTCGTATACTATGTACCATCATTTACTCAGTAGCGCTGTTAGACACAGAGAGGGTATCCATACATGCATAAACTTGGTAGGTTCGGTCATTGGTTTTATCCACGTCTCCTCCACCCAACCCACCCCCCCCACACCTTTCCCTTCTTTTGGTTGGAGTGAAAAATAATAATTGAAAATTGACACAAAATCTGTAACTACTTTATTCACGAAAGTATAATTTCTTTTTATACAAAATACAAAAAATTATTCTCTCAAAATACCTTGATTGATAAAAGGTGTAAAATATATAAAAATTATATAATTTGAAAACTTGTAGTGTTGTATTCTGTTCTCATTTATTACTTTTTCTCCTCTTTCTCCCCTGAACCCTGTGAACATTTTCATAGCTCAGAATAATCAACCGTTCTTTTAAAACAAATAATTACGAATGTTCTTAATTACTTATTTACGACCGTATCTATTTTTTTTTTTTTGATAACATTCCGTATCTATTTTTTCAGTACATGTATGATGTACCCCTCTCTCTAAAAATAAAAAAAAATATTATTGTCTTAATAAGATCTGCCATTAACACTTTACAGGTGAGAGAGGGTTCTCATAAATGTGTGTGTCATTTTAGAGGAGGTAAAATTATATTATTTTGTACCAAAAAAAAAATTATATTATTTTAATAGAGAAAAAAAATAGATAAAAGAAGAAAGAATTGACAAAAAAAATAAAAATATAGATCCCATTTCTTTATGAAAAAAATGATTAAATTTTATTATTTAAAAAAATAATCACTTTTTCATGTACTTATTTGAGACAAAGTAGGTGAGATTCTTTTTGTTTTTCTATTGACCTGACGTGATGCAAGACTATCTCGTCACAATTATTATTATTTTTACTTCGTTTAGGAGATGGAATGGGTAGGTAAAGAGATAAATAATGCTCCTCACCAAAAGAGAGAGAGAGAGAGAGAGATAAATGCTCAATACTGTGACTGTCTCTACGCGCTAAGTGGTTAAGAACTACCAGCGACTTATTTTTATGATAAATTATTTGTTCATATAATTATGAAGATTAATTACACACACATACTTAGAAAAAAAAGTAAACACACACAAGTTGTGAAAGCTTTTGCCAATCAAATATCAGTAGATTTGATATTTGAATCAAATCAAATGAAACGAATTCGAATAAATTTAATTTAAAAATATGTTGAATTGAATTTACATATAATTTGCTTTAGATCTTTCTTGACCAAATTCTTAAATGTGCTATAGATTTTTTGTTTAACAAATAGAATACTTTTTTTTTTTGGTAAACTAACAAATAGAATACTTTTTTTTTTTTGGTAAACTAACAAATAGAATACTTTTAGTACAAGGAGAGTGATTTTATTTCGTATTTTATTAGGAAATAAAATTTTCCATACTAGTTAATAAAAATTAAAAAAGAGAGAGCAAGAAGTGATGATTTTATTCTATTCATTCTATATCTTTCTCTTTTTTTGGTAAATATTCTATATCTTATTTTATAGAACCGTGAACTATCAAATTTTATAAATGAGAAAAAATGGTAAGCTTGTACCTTATAAAACGTATTTTTTTCTAAACATAACACTCATAAATTATAATAATTTATATTAAATTTATCTTTTCTAAAGTTTTAATTTATTTTTCAACTAATCATTCATAACTTATGATTAATTTTAAATTGCTAGTGTTAAAATTTAAATAATAACAATATATCATGCAAATATAATATGTAAAAAATAAAGCAGTGGGAATCTTTTACTATTTATATACTGATAATGATTCACATTAATAGAAAATTTGCAATTAAATGAAAGGAGCCTAATAACGATGAAAGAACTGAGACACTCGGTTGTATTTGTATACTGCAAAGATATGATATATTCTTTATTATTTTTTACAGTTTATTTTTTTAGGTTTTTCACCGGTTCATCTATTGATTAATCAATTAATCTGGTCAAATTAGATAAAATGATAAGGGGATACCTAATTTACTTATTGAATTTTTTTTGTCTCGTGTCGGTGATAGAGAAAAGGTGTAGATCCCACCTTATTTTTTTTCTTTTTTCTTTGCAATATAACGAGGACTACTCTATTTTCAAGAGGAGAAAAATATTAATACCCGATATATTTATAGGTAAATCACCTATTCTTTTTTTTGAAAATCACCTATTCTAATATTTCTTCTATGTTATTTCTCAGTACTATTGATTTGTTTATCTAGATCCTCTCAGATGACATTGCAATATTAAATAACACAAATTTATTCCTCAATAATTATGGATATGTGTAGTGTGTAAAATCAATGTGTTGTTAAATATATTTTTCCTCTGAAACGACACACATGACATGGATGCAACCGTGCAGCCTCATCACAGAGAATAAACCCTCGAGTCAAGTCTGCGCACAGATCAACAAAATTGCTATAGAAAACCACCTCCCCAAAACCTTCGTGTTACTAATGGAGCTCAACGAACCAAAGGCAGAAACAAATCTTTGGTGCTACCATACCATTAAATTTTTAGTGTATTTCTTATTTATAATATGATTTGTGTTTTATTTTTGTCAAATTATTAATAAATAAATTATTTTGATATTATATAAGTGAGAGAGTAATTTAATAAAAATTAAGACACTTATCATATCGTGAGTGAAAAATATATAAAAAATTAAATAACACTGTAGCAATAAAGAAATTTCCCAAAGGTAGAGCCTGCCTTAATCAGGATCTCACAATCCGATTGTGATGGTTCCCATATTCTGCAAGCGTGTGGTCGCACACATCATTTACTCAATTGAGTGAATCAAATCCCAACCCAGAGATACTCATTGTTTGTTTCTGCCAGTGGGAGAGAGACATGTAAGAGATAAGGCTATTATCATCACAGAGGATCAACCACCAAAGACTCACTAAATTCCAAAATCTATTTTTGAATGCAAAGGAAACCTATTTTGATCCATTGAAACTCAATCTAGTCACGTTCAACCAAAGCCTTTCATTCAATTTCATCCCTTCCACAGTTTGTGTTTTTTTTTTTTTCTTAAAAAAAAAGACAGTCAGACAGTGACATCACGCCCTTTTCCTTCATAGGTGGGCGCACACTCACCAACCACCTAACATCTCCACCAGATCTCAAAACCTGTAGTAATTTCCTTTTTTCTCCCTCACTACTAAACTCACCAAAAAAAATGAAAAAAAAAAAAAGTGTCAACATTAACCTTTAGTGAGAGAAAAAAATAGATAAACAGAGAGAATGTGAACAAAAAAATAAATAAAAATGTGTATCTCACTTGTTTCTAAAAATAAAATAATATATATTATATCATTTAAGATCGCAAAAGACTTCTTCCCAAAATGAAAAATAAAACTGAATGGTGAATCTTATTTAATATTTATACACACCCGTTATACTATCGCCAACACACAACCAAAAGTGGAATCGTAAAGGAAAAAATCACAACTACCCCACTTCTGAATTTGTTTTCCAATTTGATACTCTCATTGTGTTTCGTTTCCATTGGCATTCATGGAACGTGCTCGCAGGCTGGCGAACCGCGCCATTCTTAAGCGTTTGGTTTGTGAGGCGAAGCACTCGGGTCAGAAGGGTTCGCTGTTGACCCATTCGAGGTTTGTGTCATCTGTTTCTCACTGTGGTTTCAGAGACAGAGGATCCAAATCAGAGAACTTGTCACGCAATGTTGTTTGGTCCCAAACTCGATCCATTTCGGTGGAGGCACTTAAACCCAGTGACACTTTCCCTCGACGACACAACTCCGCCACACCCGAAGAACAAAGCAAGATGGCTCAGGCATGTGGTTTTGATAATCTGGATTCGCTCATCGATGCCACAGTGCCTAAGTCGATTCGTCTGAGCGAGATGAAGTTCAGCAAGTTCGACGAAGGGTTGACGGAGGGTGAAATGATGGAGCACATGAAGTATTTGGCGTTAAAGAACAAGGCTTTCAAGTCATACATTGGGATGGGGTATTACAACACGCATGTTCCGCCTGTGATCTTGAGGAACATCATGGAAAACCCAGCTTGGTACACACAGTACACTCCTTACCAAGCTGAGATATCTCAAGGGCGTCTTGAGTCCTTGATGAATTATCAGACGTTGATCACAGATCTCACTGGTTTACCCATGTCAAATGCTTCATTGCTCGATGAAGGAACTGCTGCAGCTGAGGCTATGTCTATGTGTAATAATATTCAGAAAGGAAAGAAAAAGACTTTTGTTATTGCCAGTAACTGTCACCCACAAACCATTGATGTTTGTAGGACCAGAGCGGCTGGTTTCGATCTTAAGGTTGTCACTGTGGATCTTAAGGATATTGATTACAATTCGGGTGATGTTTGTGGTGTTCTTGTTCAGTACCCGGGCACTGAGGGTGAGGTTTTGGATTATGGAGAGTTTATTAACAAGGCTCATGGTCATGGAGTTAAGGTTGTTATGGCAACTGATCTATTGGCTTTGACTGTGTTGAGGCCTCCTGGTGAAATGGGGGCAGATATTGTTGTTGGCTCGGCTCAGAGGTTTGGGGTTCCAATGGGTTATGGAGGTCCTCATGCTGCGTTCCTAGCCACATCCCAAGAGTACAAGAGAATGATGCCTGGAAGAATCATTGGTGTCAGTGTTGATTCTTCTGGAAAGCCAGCCTTAAGAATGGCCATGCAAACTAGGGAGCAGCATATTCGTAGGGACAAGGCCACCAGCAACATTTGCACTGCTCAGGTAACAACCTGATTCCTGATCCTGACTTGATCTAATCAACTTTAGTTTAATTGGTGTACCAAAGCCGTTAAAGATTTTTCAATTCTAAATTTTTACTATCTATTCATGTCATGTTTCAATTCATTTTTATTTGGACAAATCCTTGTATTAGTATATTCCTGGAGCTATGTTCTGGTTTTGTATGAGTTGGTTGATTTTATTTAATCCTTATTGATTCTGCCCAGGCACTGCTTGCAAACATGGCTGCTATGTATGCTGTTTATCATGGACCTGAAGGCCTTAAGACCATTGCCGAACGTGTTCATGGTCTTGCTGGGGTGTTTGCCCTGGGATTAAAGAAACTTGGAACTGTGGAAGTTCAGGATCTTCCCTTCTTTGATACTGTGAAGGTTAAGACTGCCAATGCCCATGAAATTGCTGATGCTGCTCACAAAAGTGAAATAAATTTGCGAGTTATTGACGGGAACACTGTGAGTGTTGCTTTTTGTTGCACCAAATCAGCTAATTTTGTTTTCATGTCTTTTTCGGTTATGGAGCTTGGTTGCTTTTCAGATCACTGTTGCCTTTGATGAAACTACCACCTTGGAGGATGTTGATAAGCTTTTCAAAGTTTTTGCTGGCGGCAAGCCTGTAAGAATTATTATATATATCATTTTTATAATTATCAATTAAGGCATTACTCATCACTATAAGGCCATCTAAAACGTTAATTTGTTTGCAGGTCTCCTTCACAGCTGCATCTCTTGCACCAGAAGTTCATGCTGCACTTCCTGCTGGACTAATTAGGAAGAGTCCATATCTGACACACCCTATCTTTAACACGTATGTCCCCTTCCCACATAATTTGAATTCATGTGATTATATTATGGATGCTTACCTGAATTTTATTCGCTCTTAATAGGTATCACACTGAGCATGAGTTGCTCAGGTACATTCATAGGCTACAATCTAAAGATCTCTCGCTGTGCCACAGTATGATCCCGCTGGGATCTTGTACAATGAAGCTGAATGCAACAACTGAAATGATGCCTGTGACATGGCCTAGCTTTGCTGACATGCACCCTTTTGCACCAATTGAACAGGCTCAAGGTTATCAGGTACTTCAAGGTTAAATAAAATAACAACAATAATGATAAAAGCAGATTCTTATAAATGCATTTTATTCCGGAAAATATGGGATTTTTTTTTCTTTATCCATTTCTAAACTAGCAAATCTGGTATCAGGAAATGTTCGACAATTTGGGTAACCTGTTATGTACCATCACTGGGTTTGACTCCTTCTCTTTGCAACCTAATGCTGGTGCTGCTGGAGAATATGCTGGACTGATGGTTATTCGTGCATATCATTTGGTATGGTGACTTAAGTCATTATGAACATCTCTGCTTAAATTTTATGGACAATATTAATTATTAGGCATTCATAGTTTCTTCTGATTTACTTTTAGGATATAGAACTTTTTCAGTTGTTATTTAATTTTAACAATTGCATTTTGCAGTCCAACCAATAACAGATAACCTCAATAGTGTGTGTGTGTGTGTTTTTCCCTCTTGCTACGTATCTAGAAGAGATGCAGTGCCTTCCCCTACATTACTTCCTTCGATAAGTATTCTAAAATTTCTGTGATGCTTACTTCTTTGGACAATTGGACATTATAGGCAAGAGGAGACCACCACCGCGATGTTTGCATTATACCTGTCTCAGCGCATGGTACAAATCCTGCTAGTGCTGCTATGTGTGGAATGAAAATTGTATCTGTTGGAACTGATGCCAAGGGAAACATTAATATTGAAGAGCTGAGGAAGGCTGCTGAAACACACAAAGACAACTTATCTTGCCTTATGGTACAACTTGCTTCCTATATTGGAATTTTGCTTGCATTATTTGGATAATTTATCAGTGCATTGGGAGGAAAGGGGTATTTTGAACCTGGGCATTTTTTTTTTAATACTCATTTGTAGTGGTTTTGATTTAAATTATAGGTAACATATCCTTCAACTCATGGTGTTTATGAAGAGGGCATTGATGAGATATGCAAGATTATTCATGATAACGGAGGCCAAGTATATATGGATGGTGCTAATATGAATGCACAGGTTTGACGTCTTTACATTCTTGTACTTTATGTTGGGCCAAGATTCTGGCAGGGATAGTTCTTAGGGGAAGTTAGTAGGTCAGGATGCTGTTAACTTTTAAGGAACTAATCTTTTTGTTGGAGTAATTACGTTATTAGAGATCCTTTTGTGAGTCGATCCAAAATCTTCAATCACATTGCCATCCGAAATTAGGCAATATACAACTGATGCTTTTGTTCCTACCCTTTTGCGTATCATGTTGGTTTGGAATTTAACATTTTGTGCCTCATTTTCAAGTAGTGTTTGTTATCAAGTTATATTTGGTCACTTGGTTCATGTTTATAGGTGGGACTTACAAGCCCTGGTTGGATTGGAGCAGATGTTTGCCATCTGAATCTCCATAAGACATTTTGCATTCCTCATGGAGGAGGTGGCCCTGGAATGGGTCCTATCGGCGTGAAGAAACACTTGGCACCATTTTTACCTTCACATCCAGTGGTAATATTTTTTGTTATGTGCCATGTTATGTAAAACATGCATACATGTTTTTAGTTATACATTCATTAGAAAGCACATTGTTTTCACAGAAAAATTCATCTTTAACTTCCTCCAAACTAGATGACATTGTCCCTCCATATCTTATATGCTCAAACTGATTAGATCCGTATAAAGACAAGAATTGTTTGTTGCTGTTTAATAATATCTCTGTTTCCTTTGTATTTAATTATCTATTACCATATTTGAAGATTCCCACTGGTGGCATTCCTGCCCCTGACAAGTCCCAACCACTTGGTACCATTTCTGCTGCACCATGGGGCTCAGCACTGATATTGCCAATCTCATACACTTACATAGCCATGATGGGTTCTAAAGGACTCACCGAAGCATCAAAGATAGCCATTTTGAACGCAAATTATATGGCAAAACGATTGGAGGTTTGTGCAATGCCATAGATTGCATTTGTTTATTTCCCTAGCAACTTTACTTATACTTCTCAATTTTACAGAATCATTACCCTGTTCTTTTCCGTGGGGTCAACGGAACAGTTGCTCATGAATTTATTATTGACTTAAGGGGCTTTAAGGTAGGTCCATTTGATCATTGCAGTTTTTTTTTATTCAATTAATCAAGATCATTCGGGCTCTGCATAATTGTAAGCTATTTCAATTCTAGAATACTGCTGGGATAGAGCCTGAAGATGTTGCAAAGCGCCTTATGGACTATGGGTTTCATGGACCGACAATGTCATGGCCTGTACCTGGCACACTCATGATTGAACCCACTGAAAGTGAAAGCAAGGTATGACCTTCCGGGAAACTAATGTGATCTTCTCTTTGTACTTTCTATTATGTAAACTTTTTCTCTAATTCAACTAAACGTCATTGCAGGCTGAGTTAGACAGGTTTTGTGATGCTCTTATTTCCATTCGAGAAGAAATTGCTGAGATTGAGAAAGGAAAGGCTGACATTAACAACAATGTACTTAAGGTAAAAGGGTTGGTTCTTTTGGCTATCTGGTATTGTTCTCCTTTAATATGATATAATAAGAAAAATATTACTACTTTTTTTAGTTTGATTACCGAGCAGCATTTTATACACCATTTGATTCATATTTTTATTTACAATTTCAATCTAGTTGATGCACTTTTGAGTGATTATCTAAAATATTCCACAGGGAGCCCCTCACCCACCATCGCTGCTCATGGGAGATGCATGGACAAAACCATACTCCCGGGAATATGCAGCCTTCCCAGCTTCCTGGCTCCGTGTTTCTAAGTTCTGGCCTTCCACAGGTATGACATCCTTGTTCTAATGAATTATTTATATATATATATCTCTCTTTTGATATCCTTGTCATAATTAACCTACCTCATTATCCTCTATTGTAATATTATGATATTTAGTGGGGAAAACAAATAGAATGGATAAAATATATTTCACACAAATAGAAGGACATGTCATTTTCACTTTGTACCTCATTTCATTATCCTCACCCCCATTTTCGCTTCTATTAAACACAATTAACTATTAAACAGTGTTTCTATTTAGGCTTTCTGAACTTTTTGGGGAGAGTACAGTATTCACTAATTCATTATAGAGTAGTGATACTCCTGCACAAAATTGTCTCGTGTAAACGACATATGTGGGAAACTACTCTCTTTTTTGTTTTGCAAATTCTCAATATATATATATATATGTGTGTATACGATGATATTTTGGTACTCACTTAAAGTTGGGGTGAAATTATTCACATAAAACTTAATTCTTAAAAATGTCTTCAACTATGTGGCATATCAGTACTCTTTCTAATTCGCACATAGTGGATTTGTGGCCTGCATAATTTTGTCTGACAATTAAATAGACTAATAAATGTAAAATGTGGTTGGCTGTATATCATCAGGACGTGTCGATAATGTGTACGGTGACCGCAACCTCGTTTGCACCCTTCTCCCAGCATCACACGTTGTTGAAGAACAAGCTGCTGCCACAGCGTAGTCTTCCACTTGACAAGTATTTTCATTTATAATTGTACATAATCTCTTCCTTCCATTTATTATACAGTCGCTGCAGCGCAACACCTTGCTTCTTCATCATCATAACATAATGATGATATAATCACAGGTTTCATTCAACCAGAACAACACCCAAAAAAAATAAAAATAAAAATAATTCCACGAAAAAAAGAAATAAACAGCATATATATAGCTGAATTAATAACGGCGTTGGCGACTTGTGTCGAGTGTTGTAATTTCCTGCTTTTGGACTTTAGAGATTGTTTTATATGATTCGTGTACAAAACATTCTCTTTTAAATTCTTGCAGTGCCTTTTCCACAAACATGGAAAATATTCGAGTAAATGATGAATATTCAAGTAATGAGAGAATTCTTTATTTAGTAAATGATGAATATGTGATCAACTAAAAAGCTGTTGTGTGCTATCATTTTCTTTTTTTTATAATTAGATGCATATATGATATACTTAATCAACGAAATTTTTTTTGGGGTTCATGGCACTGGCGAAGGCAGGATTCTTAATTAGGTGGGGTGAAAATAATTTTTTTTATAACAACATAAAATAAACATTCAGAAATTTATTACCACCAAATAATATTAAACAATTATATTTGAAAGAATCTAAAAGGATGAAATTGATATATCAATTTAGCACCCTTAATTGTTATTTTCTAATGTCAAGGAACACTAATTAATTTTGTATGTGTTATATATACTTACGAATATATTATAGGGATTTGCATTTATCATTTAACATGACACAAGAAAGTTTCATACACACACAATATTTTGTGGGGCCCACACTTTTTGAAGCAAAAAAAAAAAATACGGCACGCAAAACGAATCTCTATAATATTACACAATCACTTTTCCTATAACATAACTCTTATAAAACCTTATATTATATCATGCTTTCATGATTTACATTATTTAATTATAATTGATCTTGGGGCAAGATATTCTTACACCGGTGTAAGAGTTAGAAGTCTTACCCTCAATCTTGACCATTGATCCACTTGTATCAAATGGATCACATTACTAAAAAATTAGAGCCCTTAGATATAAGTGGGATCAACGGACAAGATTGAGAGTGTAACTTACACTAGTGTAAAATGATCCTGACCCATTGATATTACAGTATATTTTGGGTTATGAAATCCCAAATTAGAAGTCAGTAAAAGGCCCTATTGGGCTATGGACAGAGAGATCCGTATGATATTTTGATTAGACCCAACCCACAAGGCAACCTCTTGTTTGGTGATTCCTTCCCACCATTGCGGATTGAGAATCAGAGATGGCTGTGGCGGCCAATTCTGCAAGAAAAACCCTTCAAATAGCTTCGTCTTCAACCACTATCAGAACCCTATTATGTGTTTGATCTTCATCTGCTCCTACGTCACACACCGCTAAATTCAATGGGTTTGTTTCTTTTTCTTGAGCTTCTCCCCAAATTTCAAAAAATAAAATAAAATTTGGAGGGACCGGCCGTCCATCCTAATCTCCTCTGACTCCGCCCCTGATCCACAGTGAGATGTGAGAAGAAAATTTAGATCTTCATTGGAAGATTTTTTTTTATCAAAATAAAAATGTTTTTCATTATTTTGATGCAACTTAAAAAAATAAAAAACCAAAATGATTTTTTTTTTTTCAAGTCAAGGTTATCGATTCTGAAAAAATGGAGAGGCCAAAAGTCAATGCAATCCTTCTAAAATTTAATTGCACCCTTAATCCAACATTGATCTTTTTTTATTTAACAGCTCTCAGATGAAGTGTCAAATTTCAAATTTGACTCTGGTGTTAAAGGATCTTACTTTATATATATATATATATATATATATATATATATATGTATATATAGATATTTATATATATATATATATAAATATATATATATATATATAGGGCATATTCTTACACCGGTGTAAGAGTTAGAAGTCTTACACTCAATTTTAACCATTGGTCCACTTGTATCCAATGACTTACATTACTAAAAAATTTGAGCCTTTAGATATAAATGGAATCAACGAACAAGATTAAAAGTGTAACTTACACCAGTGTAAAATGATCTTGACCCTATATATAGAGGTAGGATCCTTTGACACCAGTGTCAAATTAGAAATTTGACACCTTATCTGAGAGCCATTAGATAAAAAAAGATCAATGGCTCTGATTTGTAAGTATGTGACACTATTGATCTTTTTTGATCTAATGCCTCTCAGATGAGGTGTCAAAGAATCCTACCTCATATATATATATATATATATATATATATATATATATATATATATATATATAACCAAACGAGGAGGTTACACGTGAATTATAGGGCATTTATCAGGTGTTTTCACCTAATAAGGAAGGGTGATAATTTGGATTCACACGATATGATACAACCGGATACAAATTTGACACAAATATAAATATATTTAATATGATTATGACATAAATTTAAAAATGGATTAAAACTTTTGAAACGAACATAACCAACTTATTTGGCGAGTTGACATAATACAAGATAAATAATTTATAATCTCAAAATATATCACTTATTATGCGTGTTGATATAACATGGTAAGAAATAGATAACTTGTATATTGAATGTTATTTTCACCAATATAATGTTAACATAATATGACACAAACAACTTATAAGAAAATTAACATAGGTTAATTTGTGGGTTAACAGGGCTTAGCCCCTCTTTATTTACAAAAATAAAAAATAAAAAATTTGTGAGTTAACATGTAACAAGACATAATGTTTTCATATTAATTTTTGGGGAAAAACTATTCTCATGCTATATGAGATAAGTTTCTCTCCTACACACTCTTCGATAACTGTGCCACCTTTTTTTTTTTCAGGTGATGAAATCCAGAAATTTGTCTCTATGACATGAGATAACTTATCTCCTTTAATATGAGATTAATAAAACCCTAATTTTTTTTTTGTAAATAATAAAACCCTAATTTTTGTCAATACAAATGTGATACAAATTTAAAAACAAATCGATCCGAACACAATTTTTTGTGTCGCATTTATCATCCTTAATAACAAGCATGCAACAACATGCATTGTGAGCTTGTTAGCCATTCAAGCAAGATGATACAAACAACAACTTATTTTACACTGTAGAAATCTAGCCTCGTAACAAGCTCCATATTAAACATGTGTTGCTAAGTTTGTGTATGTGTTGAAAAATTCCACATGGACTAGTTCATGAGCACCCACGAATATAAATGATGTGCATGAATCGCTAACGAACTCCCATTGCTTGATGTTAGATGCTTGCCATGGCGTCATGTATACTAATGCCTTACTAGGTGCATTCGTTCTATTTTTTTTTTAACTCTTATGTTTGTTGTGTGTATAGAAGAAGATATTATTCTCATTTAACATGAGAAGTTTTTAAAATTTTTTTTAATAGGTGAAGTTAGTCCGTAAAATCTTACAACTCTCCGTGCACAAGCTATTGTGCTTTATATATGTAATATGCTATGTGAACTAATGGCTTGTATATGTGGCATATACAAGGCATATATACCAACTATATTTTTTAATATATTGATAAGAATTGAATACATAACTTATATAAATTATTTAAATCCTCCACCATTAAATCAATACTAACTTCTTGAAGACATGACACATATATAACTATGTAAGTACTGCTCATATTAATAAATCAGCCTTGGAGTACACTCCACTATTGTAATCTTTTAAAAAAATTTGGTGGTGCTAATGTTTTAGTATAATATTTTTGGTGAGTAATTTTTTCTGGGTACAAAATCCTGTGTTTCTATGATTATCACTTTCTCATAGTCTCACGGACTTGGTAAGCTATATTTGCTTTTTATGTGAAAATAAAATAAAAAATGAAATATATCGCATAAATATTAACTTCATAAACTAACATATAATTATAAAAAAAATATTATAAATATTAATAAGCAACCCTCGCCTGACTTACGGGCTACAGCAAAAGTATGTCAATTAATTGTGGAAGTATTTCATACTTATTATTAATTAGTTAATTTATCAATGTCAATCTCATAATTTAAATAAATCAAAATGACTTTTGGGTCTGAACTGCAAAGGAAAGTATTTTTTTTAAAAAAAAATCTTAATTGTCTAACAAATTTTATTTTTATTTTTTGGTATGCACAAAAACTCTTTATATCAGTGTTTACACGCGCGGCTAACAAAAATTATGAAACAATATAAGATCAAATGATTTATTATATATTTTTTATATTATCCATTAGTTTATCGATTATTTTATTAGTCCTACTTTGTTGTTCTCCCTATCAAGTTTTAACACAATTATATTTTTAGAGACTCAAATTTGAGATTATCTATGTGTTTCTATGATTATCACTTTCTCATAGTCTCACGGACTTGGTAAGCTATATTTGCTTTTTATGTGAAAATAAAATAAAAAATGAAATATATCGCATAAATATTAACTTCATAAACTAACATATAATTATAAAAAAAATATTATAAATATTAATAAGCAACCCTCGCCTGACTTACGGGCTACAGCAAAAGTATGTCAATTAATTTTGGAAGTATTTCATACTTATTATTAATTAGTTAATTTATCAATGTCAATCTCATAATTTAAATAAATCAAAATGACTTTTGGGTCTGAACTGCAAAGGAAAGTATTTTTTTTTTAAAAAAAATCTTAATTGTCTAACAAATTTTATTTTTATTTTTTGGTATGCACAAAAATTCTTTATATCAGTGTTTACACGCGCGGCTAACAAAAATTATGAAACAATATAAGATCAAATGATTTATTATATATTTTTTATATTATCCATTAGTTTATCGATTATTTTATTAGTCCTACTTTGTTGTTCTCCCTATCAAGTTTTAACACAATTATATTTTTAGAGACTCAAATTTGAGATTATCTATGTAGCATCGATACGACACGCGACACGTGACACGACACGACACGACACTCCGACACGTCAAGCCTAAAAAATTATGAATTTCGACACGTTGGTACACGTTTTAAAATTAAATAATATTTTTAATTTATATAGTGTATATTTCATTTAATATTTAATAATTTAACAAAAAAATGAAACTAAATTAATAATACCCATCAACACTTTATAAAGATGGAAGCTTTAATAAAAAAAATAAGAACTGGGATGAGAGAGATATAATATCAGATAGAGAGATCAAATCATATTAGAGAGATCAGAGACAAGGAGATACAACAAGAGCGTGATAGGAATTGACAACAATGATGTTGAGATGATCTCTTATCTACTTAAGGGGAAAAAAGACAAAAAAATAAAATTGATATGATCAGATAGAAGTTTTATTAATATATTTTAATTTTTTTAAGAATTTTTTAAAAAAAAAAATTAAAAAAAATTACGAAAATGTCATTTGACCGTGTCGGACTCGGTCAAACTCGCGTGTCGGAATGGTCAACGTGTCGAAAAAAATTGACCGCGTGACCGATACCGTGTCGGAGCGTGTCACCCTATCGGACACGACTCTCCCTGTTTTTTACAAGTATCCATGCTTCCTTGGAGATTATTGGTTAAGCTGAAATAATTTATTATCAGTTGATTCACATACTTGGTGGTAGTTTATTATATTAACTTCCAAAAAATTTAAAATGGTTAAAATTGTAATGTGCATTCTTTCGTCTAAGTTAGACATATCTATCTAAAAAAAAGCTAAAGTGTTAACTCCCAAATAAAGATTTATATAAGATTGGAGGACAAAATTATAAGTATAACATTTTATATGATAACAATAAAATAAAGATTTAATGTTTCGACAGTGAATGTAATTATTTACATTCACTCTTAAAATAACATTATTTTGCATTGAAAAATTAAAAAAATATAATGAAAAAGATTATTATAATTTTAAAATAAATTATAATTTTAAAAATACATTAATTTTCGCTCAAAACAATATCGTTTTAAATTTAATGTATATAATTTATTTATATTTACCACAAAAAAAATAAACCAAAAAAATAAACCAATAAGAAGCGACCGCCCTCCCTCCGTCCACTTCTGCACTACTTGTAACCACTGAGTTAACAACCTTTTCGTTATCAAACAAATTTTGCACGCTCAATTTAATTAGTTGGAATTGCAGAATGCGAAAGGATAATATAGCAGGTGTTTTATTCGTTGCGTCTTGCGTGGTATAGCTATACAACATAAATCTAGCACAAAATTTATTTATTTCTGGACCTATTTACTTTTTTCTACAATTTTTTTTCCTACAATTTTAGAAAGTAGTTTTTGGAGATATTTTGAACTTGGGTTGATACATAATCCAGGCGAATCATGTTAGGCCGGCTAATAGCCGTGACGTGATAATGCATCTGAAGATGTAGGTCAATGAGGCAAAAGTCAACATGAAATTTATATAGATAAAACCCTAAAATCGGAGGCGATTGACTTCTTGTCAGAATTGGGACACGTGTTTAAGTTTTAATTTAAATCATTAATTAATGTTGTGTGCTGTAGTAGCTAGAAAATATGATTTTGCATTCAATGCCACCGACACCGATGCCCTCGTCCAGTTTCAATCGCTTCGTTATTGGGACTCTTTTCTATTTCCAGGCTCAGGGCACATCCCCAATTTCTTAATTTGAGGAAAAAATCTAAGTGATATATACATTTCATCAATGAGAATATAATACATCAGTTGACATATTTTTTAAAAAGAAAAACAAATTAATATTATAACTATATATTTTTTGAATTACTTAATTTATAATTTTATTTTAAACTACTGTAATGTTCAATACGACGATAATTTTGAAAATATTCTTCTCTGAGAAATTTTTAATGAGATATTATAGATTATCCACCAACAAAATTCTTAAGTACGCCGGAATCCACTTTTTTTCTATTTTAGATTTATAATTTTATGCCCATTTCTTATTCGGGTAACTAGCATCGTTAGGTTAACGTTTAAATTATACTCAATGCCACTAATTACATACTTATTTTTTTTTTTTATCTTTTTTGCATTTTTCAATTAACTTCAGCTGTATTGTTATTTGGATTTTGTTTCCCGAATTAAAATAAAAATAAAAAACTGCTGACCATCGTACAATAATACAAGGCTATTATTTCAAAATAAATAGAAAACATTATATGAAGCAGGATTATTTTACAACAAAAGTTGTATGATAAATTTTGGCTGTTAATTTCACTTATATTTGATGACACTAATTTATTAATCATATAAATTATTAAAGTATAAGTGAATCAACGATTAAAAATTGATAACATTTTTTATTTTCACACTAATATAAATTGATGGTGTCAAAATATATTACTCTTACTTATTTTTTTGGGTAATGATATTACTCACTTTACTCACAAAATTTTCCGGCTATTATTTGAACCAATTATGAATTCCTTGGCCCATAACTACTCTTTCTGAAGAATATCACTTTTAGAAAAATTATTAAGTATCTCCTTAAAGTAAAATATTTTTCTTTACCATTAAATATACAATATGTTAATTATACTATTGAAAATATAATTAAAGTGAGAAATAATAGTTATTAACATAATTAAAACAGTACACACACATATATATATATATATATGTTATATTATAGAAAATAAAAAAACTTTCTCCCATATCACCTAAAAATTATCTAATTTTTATTACTTATAGAAGTGATGAGAGTGAGAATATGATAATTAGGAAAATGTTTATATATGTCTACAATAATAATAATAATAACAATTGCTTACCAAAAATAATAATAATATTAATAATAATTTATACTAATTCAATACTGTTATAAGTTGATCGAATATCTAAAAACTCACCATGTGCCCAAGTGTCTTTATTCTTCTTTATAGGAATAATTACTTTTTTGAATAACAGTCATATATAAGCTTGCAAAATATTGTAGACATAAACATTAGGAAAATGTTTATGTCTACAATAATAATAATAATAATAATAATAATAATAATTACCAAAAAATAGGAAAATGTATATGTCTACAATAATAATAATAATTACCACAAAAAAAAAATTATACTAATTCAATCCTGTTATAAGTTGATCCAATATCTAAAAACTCACCATATGCCCAGATGTCTTTATTCTTCTTCATAGCAATAATCACTTATTTGAATAAAAGTCATATATAAGCTATGCAAAATATAACGTATGTGTCTATAAAATATTTGTTAAGAAATTAAAATTAAAAAATGAATTTTTAATGTAATGAATTTATTTTCTTTATTAAATATTTTTTTTAAAATCTTAATAAATACCTTTAAGATATTCATAATAATACTTACAAATAAATAAATAAATAAAACCGAAAGAGCAGGGGTTGAACCGAGAGCAGCAGGAGCATATCTTAAAGATATTTTTCAGAGCAGATCTTAAATAGCAAAGTAAGTTTGGTCGCCATTTAATGAAAATCGGCACGTGAAATTATCAAGTCATAATGTATTGGTGATATACAGTGCTACAATGCATTGTTTGTCCATAAAAGTTTTTCAGATGACTCTCATCACTTTTTTTTCTTCTTTCTTATTTATTTTATTCATCAACTTTTTATCTGAATTCGGTGAGTTAAAGATAGAAAAATAAGCACAATTCTCGAAGTCATAAATAGTACATTATTGTAGACAATAACTCAAATACCATACATTCTGCTGGTCAACTCAAATGGCCTGCAGAGCATTCCTCTTTTAGCTCCAATGGTGTGGGAGTTGCAAGTTTGAGTTCTAAATCAGGGGCTGCGCTTTGAAGAGTGCAATTTGTTGAAGAGTTTGGCCAATTCAGCACTGAATGAGGAGGATGTGAATGCCACTGAGAAAGAAAAATTCTATTTCTACTCAATTGGCTGATGCAGTCTATACCATTTGATGTCAAATTAGTAAACCCTGATGGGAACCCAAATGAACCAAAAGTTTCACTTGGTTTAGAAAAACAACTATTAAATGGTTTAAATGTGGTTTTACTTTCATCTCCCACCTGCGAAAACATGTTACATAAAATGTTCAAAACAATTAACTACGGAAAATTCTAGTTTCAAGTAATCAAGCAATTAAATCATCACTTCGCGCGCGCGCGCGCACATATATATATATATGCATGACATGTGTGTTAATTTTAGGTGTATAGACAACAAGCTGACACCGATTTAGATAAGTGTATATAAGGTGAAATATGTGAGTATGTGTCCTCTAATTAAAAACATATATGTTATGCAATTTTTCTATTTAAAACAAATGAGAATTTGATAAGAAATTGAAAATAAAAAAAAACGGAGGAGCAGTTTAATTTACTCACATCAAGCAGGCTAGGACGGCGTTTTCTTCCATTGAAGCTATTCTGAGATTGACGGAGAAAATATTTTTGTGCATGACTTGCCACTTGGGTTGGTGTTCTTGTTGTCACAAAACTTTTAGATATGCCTCTCCAGTTACCCTTCCCCAGCTTCTCAAGCCCTATAAGAAATACACGGTGCTCTTCCTCCGTCCACGGCGCACCTGACCATAAATTAATAACAATGATTAATTAAAAACCAAAGAAGTGAGAAGCTAAAAAGCAACATATACTATAAATTTTTGTAGCCCTCATGATGTTTCAGAAAATAATTAAAATCTTTAATTTCTTTTTCCTAGCTATATAAACTACCACTAAATAGTAAAAAATATTGGGAGTTCAGGGATCAACAATTAATTGTAGCAAGTTTAATTAAAGTCAACTCTTTAAGGATCGGAAACGTAAAAATTATTGGAAGCCATATATATATAACATGTCAGAGATAGTTGGAAGATAACCTTTTTTCCTGTCTTGGATTGTTGATAAGTAACTATCTGAATTTTCATTTGCACCAAGCTGGAAAAGCGAGGAGGGTACAGATAATGATGTCCGTGAAGATAGCATGAAATCGTTGCTGAAACTTGTGTTCATGGAAAAATAACAAGGTGAAGAAGAAGTGGAGGATGATGAAGAAGAATAAGCGTCAAGTTGCACTCCAAAAAGCTTTAGTCCACCATTAAAGTCCTCTCTTTGACTGAGACTGTTATTGCAAGTCCTTGAATTGTGACCTAAGTTTCCACAATATGAGCATTTCCTCGCCATTAACTCACTTCTCTCTAACAGAGACAAAAGAATATTACTGACTTGCTTAACAGACAAAGACACGCGCATATATAGAAAACCTTAAATCAGAATAACAACAAGAGAGGCAGAGAAATCTGCAATCTCTGTTAATTGTGCGGTCTTTGGTGGCGATGTTGTTGTTAACAAGCAAAGTGGAAATAAAAAGGTGCATATGAGGAAAAGCAAGTAGAAAGGAAAGAACATGGTTTTTGGTTTGGACCTTCCCCACCCAAGGTTTTGAAGTTGCAACAGAAAATAGAAAGAAATCCAATTTTCTCTTTCAATGATGATTGGACAAACTTATAAAAATATTATCCTTAATTAATTAATTAATATATTTATAGCCCAACTATCCTTTCAAGTGCCCCGTTCGGGAGGCATGCGAGGGCCGAGAAAATTTCTTCATTTCATGCCGGTATCTACATCAGCTATCATATAAGAACAGTAATTCTCACACACACAAGCACGTTTAAATATTAAAAAATTAAAATATCTTTTTAAATAAACATTTTTAAATTGTCATGAATTTAAGTTTGATTATTTCCTTTAATCTTTGACTTTATAAATTATAATCATGCATGTATATACATAATACATATACATATAGTAGGCATTTTATTATTTACTTTTTAAAAGGAAGATCAACCGATGAGATTATATGAGTCATGACAAAATTTTGTAGAGGATTCACTAGAAGAAAGAATTGGAAAGAGTAAAATCTCGCTGGCCGATGTGAGGACTTTGTTGGTGGATGATATGTAATTCTTCTCAGAAATTCTCAAAGAGGTTGGGGATCTTCCCTAACCCTAGTGGGATACCGGTGTCTCACCCCACTTAAACTTTTTTTGTATTAAAAAAAAAAACTCTTATCTATTAAAATATTGTATGTAACGTTTTACCAAAAAAAAAATTTGTATAGAACGTATTTCGTATTTTTTTTTATTAATATTGAAGGTTAGAGAAAGTCTTCTCTTACTAAATTTTTTTAATATAGAATAATAATGAATGAAATCTCACTTTACTCTTAAAAGTTAAGGTTTTGTCACATTGGTTCGTTATTAAGAGGGTTAGTCTATATCAAGATTTAAGAAGACGGTGATGGTTATATTATAACAATATTTAGGGTATATTCGAATAATTTTTCGAATAAAAAACCTTTTAACATATATTTTTTAGAATTTTTTACAAAAGCACTTAAACTATTTTATTAAATTTTAATTTTTTTCCTTGAAATTTTATTATTATCAAAAAATCTTTAATTATAAAAGCACCCTTTTTTAGTAAAAGCACACATAAATGGCAACGGCATTTAGGCCTTTAATTGCTTGCAACTTTGGACTATATATGGACCAGAGATCTATGCTGCCCAATATTTTAGGTTTATTATTGGTCTCTGACCCCTGAAGGTTTAACGTACGACAAGTGGTCCTCGATGCGACAAAAGAAATCTTATAAATTCAATATCAATATATGACGATCAACTACCAACAGAAAGGGAGAAACAATTTAAAGCCAACTTTGTTTTTTAACTGGTGTGGACAAAATAATTAGCTCCAACACAAGCACTAGGCTATATATCACTTATATAACATTTATGTGAAAAACTTTTCCCCATCTAGGAGGCGATTCCTCGTTACCTCGATCGTGGTTTCTTCTTTAACAGCCACTGGTTTTGGCAACTTTAATTTAGTTTCTTTTTATTTGTTTTTTCTGACTTTTTTCTCTTTGTAAATCTCCTCTATAGTTCTTTAAAGCTCTACGTGAAGGCATTTGGTGGAAGATATATTTTAGAAATTCAACTTTTCATCAAACTCAACTTTCGACTAATCTTTAGGTTTTCAGTTAGTTATTCGATTGAGAGAACAAACTCATACTTCATCCCATCTTCTCTCCATGGACCTCATTATACTACTTTTCATTGAAAATTCAATTGACTATAACCGAGCTACCAGCTAGATGGAAAGTGGAAACATAACAGATCATGTTTGATAGTTATCTATCCTCTAATGTCCAAAAAACACGATCAATTATGATAGAACAAAGCAATTTTGAGGAGCATAAACTATTGACAGCTAAAGCTGAAAACTCACAAAAATTCTAGAAGTTGAAAGGTAAAAAGGAGGACCATAGTCCATGGGAGTAGAAGGTCGGAATTTGGAAAATATTTTTAGTAGTATTAGGAAAGCATCAAGCACTTAGTGCATCCTTTATCAAACTTGTCTTTATAGTTATTTCCTCTCTTATACTTTTTTTTTCTCTCTTTTTATAAGGTAAAATATGCTCCAAAATTTGTGCCATGGCTCACATGTACGGTTCGATCCTTGGCGGCTTCGCATCAGACAAGGTTTATAGGAAAAGAAATTACCTTCAATGGAAGAGTTCAATAACTAATCAAGTGTAGTTTTGAATTTAAATAGTTTATTGAGGTTTACATGATATATAAAAGAAATATTTAGATACACGTACAAGTGTATATTACTAATTTTCACCCATTGTGCTATTGTGATTTATTATTTGACCCCTTGTGATTTTAAATTTATCACTTAGACCCATTGTGTTTAAATAATTTATCATTTAACCCCTCGTGGTTTCAAACTTTCACTTAGACACCTTGTGGTATATAAAAAAAAAATTCACTTAAACCTTTTGTGGTTACAAAAATAAAATATTTAAAAATAAATATTTAAAATAAATGTTCTTTTTTTTTATTTTATATCCTTACCTAATGCATTTAGGGTTTAAAAAATAATTTTTTAAAAAAAATCACTTATTTTTATCAAGAAAATAAATTCAAATCAAATATTACTTTATTTTATCTATTTTTTACCCAATATCGTTATAAAATTATCTAAAGAAAGTAAATATCTTATTTTGATAATTCATATTTAATTTATCTTAAAAAATATTTTTTAATTTCAAATATATTTAAAAAAATAAGATAACTTATAAATTAATTTCAGAATAAATAAATTAAATATTTTTTAAACCATAAGTGCATTCATTACATGAGGATATAAAATAAAAAAGAGAGAGAATTTATTTTAAATATTTATTTTTAAACCACAAAGTGTCTAAGTGAAATTTTTTGTAATCACAAGAGGTCTAAGTGAAAATTTGAAACCATAGGTGTTAAATGATAAAATATCTCAGCACAGTGGGTCTAACAGATAAGTTTAAAACCACAGGGGGTCAAATGATAAATCACAAAACCACAGTGGCTGAAAATTATAATGACCCTAACTGGTAAATCTTAGTTAGAGATTTAATTTAAGGATTTAAATGCCATAATTAGATTCAGTGAGCGATTTCGAGTATTTTGACTGTAATCATGACTATGTTATGAACAGTGCGTTCTGCCTGAGAATTTACAGTTTTGTGAATTAACCGGTAGAGCTTAAATGAGCAAAATAATTTTAGGAACATAATTTGATAATTCTGACGACAAATATGAGTTCAGAACGAAAAATTATATAGTCTGACACTTTCCGTGAAAATATCGTGAATAGTATTTCTACCGGGTATTTTGTACTGCTGTTTAAGCAACCGGTAGAGCCCAGAAACAAATAATTGATGAAATAAGAATAAGAAAGTCCAATATATGCCAAGCAAGTCAATATAGGCCCAAGAAAATGATAAGTTTATAAGTTTAAGTTTCATAAGTAAATGAAGTACAATTAGTGATTCACAGTGCATTTCGTCAAAAACGGTGCAAAAATCATACTGTGAATTATGAATATTGTTTTGTAAGAATTAAAAAGTAATATAAATGATTTTAGAAAAATAAAAATATATTTGTAGCTTTGAGTTAGTTCCGGGTTAGTATAAATGAAAATACGCGAAAGAAAAATACCCGGGTAAAAGGCCACATGTGCTCACCTTCTTAAGTCACTTAAGACTCATTTCCAAATCAGTTTCTCTCTCCTCTCCTCACTCTAAAAACCGAGCTGCAGCCATGGGGGAAGGTTTTGGGGTTGTCTTCTTCCTTCTTTGATTTCTCCATGGTTAAGCCACCAAATCTTCCACCCAATATACCAATCTCATAGGAAATCGTCCAAGGAAGCTATTCCACCCCTCCGTTTGAGCTGATTTCGTGTGTGGAGAGAGATACTGGTCATCTCATTTTCGTGACACTATTCATCAAGGAAGAAAAGGTGCATTTTTGAAGGAGCCTTGCTTAGAGATGTGTCTTCTAGGCTTTGGTAGTTGATTAGAGGTAACAAACCTCTATTTTCATGGTAGTGTCTTGATTATTTAAGTTATAAAAAATTATGAATATGCTTTGGTGGTAAAGCATTGTGTGTTAAACTTTGATTGATGATGAATCCTTGATGTTTTGGATTTAGGAAATGAAAATAAGTGTTAATATGTATGTAAAAAAATTAGAAAAAATTCCTATGCCCTCCTCCATGCTTCGGCCATGATGGGTCACATAGGGTGCATTGTGCAAAATTTTATTTGATATATTTAGAGTGTCTACTGTGTTGGAGTGTGTATGAATTTGGTAAATTAGTGTAAAGGTCAAAGTGGGAAAAATCCTTTGTGTCTTGATTCCCTATGTTTCGGCTATGGAGAGTGGTGAGGGACTTGATGTTCAAACATTAAGTTAGAACAATATGGAAACATACATTTGTATGTGTAAGTTACATGTAATTAATAAGAAAAGAGCCCTTGCATTTTCCTTATAGTGTTCGACCTAGAGGGTAGTATAGGGGACATTTCGGCACATCTTATTTTAATAAAATGTGTTGTAATGCAATGTAGAAAATGAATGAGTTAAAGAAAGTGAAATGAATTAAAAATCGTGGAAAGATATTTTGTTCTCCTCTAGGTAGGTCTATGGCCTTTTAAGGAAAGTGGCAAGAATTATATTGGAGAATTCTCAAGTGAACACTTGATTAAATTAAAGAATGCTAACGAGTATAAGGTGGTCTAGACTTGTGTATTGGCATAGGATTGGCAAAAATATAAAGAAATGAATA